GAGGGTAGAGTATTCAACCCAAATTTATTGATTCGACACAAGGGGAGCCAAAGAATATTATCAAGTATTAGCAGCTGAGTTGTCAATTCAACCACACCTGGAAACTTAATATCTGCAGCAAAGTGTTTAGTAGCAAAGTAATATGATAGTGGTGATAACGGTAGCAAAAGGTAACAGTAGTAAAAGTAATATTTTTGATATTTTATAGTGATGATAGCAACGGAAAAGTAAATAAGCGAAGAACAATATATGGAAAGCTCGTAGGCAATGAATCGGTGATGGAGAATTATGCCGGATGAGGTTCATCATGTAACAGTCATAACCTAGGTTGACACGGAACTAGCTCCAGTTCATTGATATAATGTAGGCATGTATTCCGAACATAGTCATACGTGCTTATGGAAAAACTTGCATGACATCTTTTGTCCTACCCTCCCGTGGCAACGGTGTCCTTACGGAAACTAAGGGATATTAAGGCCTCCTTTTAATAAAGAACCGAAACAAAGAATTAACAGATAGTGAATACATGAACTCCTCAAACTACGGTCATCACCGGTAAGTATCCCGATTATTGTCACTTCGGGATTAACGGATCATAACACATAATAGGTGACTATAGACTTGCAAGATAGGATCAAGAACACTCATATATTGATGAAAACATAATAGGTTCAGATCTGAAATCATGGTACTCGGGCCCTAGTGACAAGCATTAAGCATAGCAAAGTCATAGCAACATCAATCTCAGAACATAGTGAACACTAGGGATCAAACCCTAACAAAACTAACTCGATTACATGATATATCCCATCCAACCCATCACCGCCCAGCAAGCCTATGATGGAATTACTCACGCACGGCAGTGAGCATCATGAAATTGGTGATGGAGGATGGTTGATGATGACGATGGCGACGGATTCCCCTCTCCGGAGCCCCGAACGGACTCCAGATCAGCCCTCCCGAGAGGTTTTAGGGCTTGGCGGCGGCTCTGTATCGTAAAACATGATGATTTCTTCTCTCCTTTCTTCTCTCCCCGAAAGAAGTTATATAGAGTTGGAGTTGGAGTCGGGAGGTCTACAGGGGGCCCACGAGGTAGGGGGGCTCGCCCTAGGGGGGCAGGTGCGCCCCCCACCCTCGTGGATAGACGGTGGGCCCCCTTGCCTCCATCTTTGGCAGGTATTTTTCTTATTTTCTGAAAAGTGGCTCCGTGAAGTTTTAGGTCATTCTGAGAACGTTTGCTCCTGCACATAAATAACACCGTGGTAATTCTGCTGAAAACAACGTCAGTCCGGGTCAGTTCCATTCAAATCATACAAGTTAGAGTCCAAAACAAGGGCAAAAGTGTTTGGAAAAGTAGATACGTTGGAGACGTATCACCCCGCAGGGCGCCGTGTTCGGCCTGGGTCCGCCGGCACCAGTTTCGGCCGAGCTAGCGAAAAACGGGCTTCTGGGGGCGCGACTGAGTCGTTTTTTCGGCGCCGGCGAGGCAAAAACGCATAAGGAGGACCTGTTGGGGGCGCGGCTGGAGATGCTCTAACGGCATGCCATGCGCACACGTACTTGAGCTCTGTAGTTCTCCTTCGTCGGGCACACCTTTGCAAGGACGACGTACACATCGACGACCGCGACGAGCATAGCAATGTGGCTGGCACAACATTTGGCACCGGCCTTGCTTCGATGTCGGAGGTGACATGATCAGACCCCCGCAAGGACAGCATACGCATTCATGACTGCGCCGTGCACAACAGCATGGACAGTGCATCAGAGGGCACATATGTAACCCCCAGTTACATGTCCATCACTAGATATGCAACTTACTACACACAAGTGCTCCACTTGCAACGGCTAGCGTGACAATATGTGTGTAACTAGAGGGTTTCTTTTGTATTTTCTATTATTATTTTTTGCCGCGTGTTCTGGCTTGAACTTATAATTTTCTATTTTCTCCTGTTGCAAATGAATAAAATATGAAAAAGTAAAAAAATCATAAAGTAGAATAAAAAGGCATCCTTTTTACACAATTCACATATGTTTTTTTTCTTTGTGAACTAGTATTGACGTTTGTTGATCGAGCCAATTGATTAGGCATTTAGGCTTGTGGCGGGCCTCATGTAGCAACCGTAATGCACCCCAAACAACAAGTGTTAGGAAAAATACAAAGCAAGAGGAGGAGATTAGGAGGACAAAGGAGGTTTTACTCCGCGCGTGATTGTACCGCGCGCCCCTAAACATAAGCTGGATTGAACCGCTCACGTGATTTCTAGAAGGTTAAGGGTTTTTTTGCAAAAATGTTGGGGCGAGCTGCTTTGCCATGATGCAGCAAGCGAGGCGCCATTGGTCCACTCATGATTGGCTCTAGACTAAATCATCCCATGCAGTGCAAGTTTAAGGATGGTTTGATTACTTTTATAACTTTGTGAACTAAACCATAACATTCATTACAAGTTTCTGGGTCTTTAGTGCTCTTGCCTTAATTACAAATTGAAGGCAATTCGACAATTGGCATAGCAATGAAGTGTATCCAATTATCACACAAAAAAGGGACAATTGAAGAAAGATCGCGATTTACCTATATAGTTGCACTTGTCGAAGTTGGAAAAGACCCCACAGTCGGAGAGGAACTGGTACGCCCGACCGACGAGTCAGCAACACAAGAGGTGATCGCCGTTGGTGCGGTCGTGGAGGTGGGTTGATCAGCTTCGTTGTCACTGCTACACTCCGTCGTGGAGTCGTCCGCTGTCAGTGAAACTAAACCCAGCCCAAGCCAACCCCGACTCACAAGTCACATCTACAGTGCAAATTGCAAAATAGATGTTCCTCTGAGAGACCGACAATACATGCGAGGTCAGTCATTCCAAGCACCAAGCACTAAGGTATTTGGACTTTCTGCTCCTGGTGCACACGCATCCCGAACAGAAAAAAAATCCAAAGTAATAGTAAAAGAATATAAAAATATATACAACACAAATGTTTGAATGTTTATTCTCATGCAGTATTTCGTGAGAAAAGGCATTCAATGTGCTCATGATATAAAAAAACAAATTGATATTGTAAAATGGCTCATTTCTGAAGCATTTGGGTCTCATTTTTTACCAGAAGCACCATGAGTGCAATCTCTTCACGAAAATTTATATGTAGGGAGGATAGTCAAGAATGTTTGCTTAAAAATCATTTTTTATTTTTCTTTCAATTTTTGAAATTTACTGTTCTTTTTGGGTTTCATCTTCATAGGAGTGGATGAGTTTTACGTTGGATCACCAAGTTTATCACAACCCTTTTCTTTATCTGCGCTTGGGTCGGCTACGTTGAGACAACATATGTAGAGTTCCTATGTTGTACCTGAGGTGCGCTTTCGTTACTACTAGGCACGAGAGTATGAGAAAGTTTGTCTTGATGGGTAGGTGGTGCTCCAGAAGGATATTTTTTGATATTTGAGTCTATGGTAATATCGATGAAAAATGTGAGTCATCGAATCAAAGATGGATTGATAAAGTTGCACTGTGATAAAAGAGTGCCACAAAAGCCAAAAGGTAGGCTCTATAGAATTTGACATGCGATGTTGTACGGAGTTGAATGTTGGCCAACTAAAAGGCGACATGTCCAATCGTTAGGTGTAGCAAAGATGCGCATGTTGAGATGGATATGTAGCCACATAAGAAAGGATCGGTTCTGAAATGATGATATACGTAATAGAGTTGGGTGGCACCGATTGAAAAGAATAGTGTCCAACATTGTCTCGGATGGTTTGGGCATATATAGGCAGGCTTCCAGAAGCGTTAGTGTATAGCAAATGGTTAAGGCGTGCTGATAATGTCAAGAGAAGTTTGGGTAGATCAAACTTGACATGGGAGGAGTACGTAAAGAAAGATCTGAAAGTTAGCTATCTATGTGCGAGAACCATGACTTGGTTTCGATATCTCATAGGTTTTGACTCTAGTCCACCCTAACTTGTTTGGGATCGAGAGGTTGTATTGTTGTTGTTGTTGTTGTTGTTTCAGAATTTACTGTTTGCCATGGTTGCATCTAAGTGCAGAATGACAATTTCAAGCACCAACGTGATATATGGCACCACCTTAAGAGCATATCCAGTTCTCTTTCCTCAGTTATTTTGTGGTCTCGGGGGAGTTGAGGAAAAAAATACCTCTGTGTTTGCACAATATTTTTTAGTGATCAAGGAATAGTCCATCTCCCCTACATGAAGGGAGAGTTCGATCTCTCCTAAAGCATCAAAATTCACTCTCGCCACAATGCCTCTCCACCCGTCTCCGCCCCGGCTACTACGTGGCTATGCCGCTGCTTCCGTTTGCCAAGTACTGGTACCTTCACTAATGTAAGACATTTTTTTTGCGGGATAATGTAAGACATTTTGACTCACTCGCAAAAAGAAAAGGTAAGAAATTTTGACTGATTAAATTAAAAAGGAAAAAATCTTACATTAATGGACATAGGGGTAGTATATCTGAATCTTTCTGGGAGACAGCATTCAGAATTGTCAGCACGTGACATGTTGTCTTTGCTTAGGAGACGTGGGAAAATAATTCTATGAGACTAGGTCTCATATAATTCGGGTGAGACCCACCCTGATG